GGGGCTGCAGACAGGACACCATGTTTCTCTCTTTCCAGGTTTTATTCTCCAGAACTTACAACAGATAGATGTTAGATATCTCATCCCTTTTATTTATGCAATTTTTCTTTAGCTAAGCAGATGCAGCAAAATATAGCAGTCAAAATCACCTCGGACATTTTCATTTAAGTGACTCATATTCTAAGTCTTCCAGGTACATTTGTTAACATGAGAGAAAAATATTTTCCTAAAAAAAAAAAAAAAATTAGTTTTTAGATAAGTGGTTGCCAGGGGCTGGAGGAGGGCGATATATGAAAAGTGCCTGCTTACGGGGTATGGCGTTTCTTTGGGGGGTGATGGAAATGTTCTGGAATGATACGGTAGGGATGGCTGCCCAACATTGAGAATGTATTAAAAGTGGCTGAACTGAACAATTTGGTTAAAATGGTGGTTTATGGCATGTTAATTTTATCTCCAATAAAAAATACTTTCTAAAAATTTTTTTTTCAAGATTAGAAGTAAAAGGTATTTCAACGTGTTTTCGAATTCAAGATCAACCTAAGGAATTTTAACTGCAATATTACAAAGTCACAAGTAATTGGGTGCACCTAATTTTTGCCTAGATCTCCCACTTGACCAAGGATGCAGGTTGGGGTAGGGCAAATAACAAAGCATGGCTAAAGCATAAGGTCTAAAATATCCCACCAACTGGAGAAGTTAGGGGGCCAGAGCCAAGGGCCACGTGGGAAACACGCTGCAGCCTATGTACAGGAGACAGACAGCTAAAGCCAATTCTACAGCAAGCATTTTTACCCCTAGGACTGAAAAATCCAACCGTTTCCACTGTAACCAGTCTTCTCAATGATACAAGTGCAACGGAAAAGCGGAAATTTTTCTTCAACAGAAATGTCGCGTATGCATCAGACAAAATTACTGTTGCCGTGGGAATCGTAACTTGAGTTTCCTGGACTTCGAATTAAAGGAAAAAATCTCAATGTAAAAATCTACTGGCAGATTCTGCCCCTATTTAACAAAAGTCTGTTTCTTTTTCTGAGAACTATTTTATGAAATTAGCTCCCTCATTGCAACCCAATCTTATTAAAAGCTAGCTTTCCCTGAGTTTTATGCTTTGTGTTATTAAGGACAAATGGCTTCAGCATTAACCTCAGAATGTGATGCAAATAAATCTGTTATTTGACAAATACTTTAATTGAATTTGATTCCTTTAATCAGAAAGTATTACCCAACTGAAATTTTGCTACATGACTCTAGTTCCCAAAACCCTGGAACTCTCTTTTGAAGCCCCGATATTAAAGCCAGGCACAAAGCCTCTTCCCACGAGGTCCTCCCAACCGTGGTGCCCAGCTAAGGAGGGCTCTGGCGTCTGGAAGTCAGAGCACTCCCATGTAAGCAAAAGAAACAGAGATGAAGAACCAACTCCCAGAGGCCCAAGTCCATAATCACAAGTATCCGAGATGAAAATCACAAACCTGCTACTTCTGTTAAAACTGCAGTCCCCAACCCCCAGGCCGAGGACCGGTACTAGTCCGTGGCCTGTTAGGAACCAGGCTGCACAGCAGGAGGTGAGCACCCAGTGAGCCAGGGAAGCTTTATCTGTATTGACAGCTGCTCCCCATTGCACGCATCACTGCCTTAGCTCCTATTAGATCAGTCATGGCATTACATTCTCATAGGAGCTCAAACCCTACTGTAAACTACACATGCGAGGGATCTAGGTTGTGCGGTCCTTATGAGAATCTGATGCCTGATGATCTGAGGTGGAGCTGAGGCGGTGATGCTAGCGCTGGGGAGCAGCTGCAAATACAGATTATCGTTAGCAGAGAGGTTTCACTGCACAATAAATGTAATGTGCTAGAATCATCCTGAAACCATCCCCTTCCCACCCTCCCCCCATGAAACTGGTCCCTGATGCCAAAAAGGTTGGAGACCGCTGTGTTAAAAGATACAAAGCAGCAGTGGTGGTTACTGGACAGAGGAGTGGGTAACTATGTCTTCTGTGACATTACTACCCCCACTGTGGAATTCTAGGTCACAGAAGGAAGACAAAAGCTGTGAGGGTTTTTCTACCATCTGTTTCAACAAATGAGAAGAAAACAACTTATCCCAGGTGACAACTGCACCCAAGACAGAACAGGACATACGCTGGGGCCCACTCTTCTGATGCACCTGCCTATAAACTTGTCCTGAGAAAGGTGTCCTGGCTCCTCTAACTCACATGGCCTCGGCAGACATCTGCTCTATTCCCTTTGCACATCTTGACTATTTTTCTCATCCTCTGCCTGTACCAAAAAGGAGAGTAAGAATTTGGAGATTAAGGACTATAAGCATCTGTTAACTACCACATTTTCAGACAACATGTTGGTCCTTCCATGTCACCTCGGGATGGCCTCTGGACCCAACTGCAGGGGCACAGAGGGACCTACTAACACATGACACCTTTTACGGAACACATGACACCTTTTAATTTGGTAGTTCTGCAAACTAACAGACACATCAGCAAAACAAGCTCTTCAAAGCCTGGACAACTGGAAGCATGGTGTGGATGCAGATGCTAAGTCCTCTGCCTTCGTCAGTCATGGTGGGAAAAGTGGTCCTTTGGCTGCAAAGTGATGCTCATCTGTTACCTGCTCCATTATTTTCTCCCTTGTCCTTTGCACGGTCCACTTGGGAAATATAGAAACAGCGGCACATAGGATGATAGCAAAATTTTCAATAATCCTGCTACCCAGATGTCACACAGCTAACCTAACTTTTGCAGGCACTAAATCCAGGCATCCTAGTCTAAGAACAGGGAACACAGCCACCTCAGAGAAAACCAAGATAAAGACCCTTTAGTTTCTGTGGTTTCAGAGAAATCACTGACCAAGTCAGATGGAGACCAACTTCAGGCCAAAGAGGTGACTGCCAATACTAACCTGCATTTTCCAAACTGAATCAAAACAGGGAGGGAGTCTTTTTTTTTTCTCTTGCTTTACATATTTCAACGCTGTCTAATGGAATAGCAGGAACAAGGCCAAACAGCCCCACTTCTCTTGGCACTTGGGCCAAGGAACAGAAATGTATTTTTAGTCAGCAGAGCAAGGCGCAATTCAAAGTACCACAGGCCCACGGGACAGGCTGGGGGCCCTGCCTGCCTCTGGCACAGCGTTGTTCAGAGTCACCTGCCGTGCTCCTGCCCGAGTGTACGGGGTAGATAAAGGAGCAATGCATGGGCATCTGTGTCCAGTATCAGTTCCTCCCTCTCACGTTTGCAACTTAGAAGACCTTGAGGGAGCCTCAGTTTCTTCTCTAGTAACACAAAGATATTTTCTGTGGCCTTGGCTTCCTCACCAGATGAGGAACAAGAGGAGTTAAATCAGCATTTCTCAAACTTTTATGTGTGGACAAATGGCCAGGGAGTTTGTTAGATGAGGCTTCTGATCCTGTAGGGAGGGATGAGGCCCGAGAGTCTGCATTTCCAGCAGGCTCAGAGCTGATATGACCCTCGTAGTCCATGACCTGTGCTTTAAGCAGCAAGGAGTTATAAGCATGTTCAAGGGCTTTGCTTTATGAACACAAAAGGAGTTATCACATCCCTGATCAGCCTCACGTAAGGCTAACTCATTTAATTTAGCCAACAATTAAACACCTTCCAGATGCTGGACACACAGGCCAAGTGGATACCAAAAACAGTCAGACCTCTGCCTACCCATCAAGGGAACAAAGGGCCCAACCCTTATTCCAGCACTTCACAGTAAGGACTGCCTCACAAATCCTGTAGCCCTAAAGGTGAGATCTTGCCAAGGCCCAAGGAGCTATGTGACAACTTGCCACCAGCCAGAAGCAGCAGCCACCACTTGTCAAACACATACTTTGTGTCCCCCAGGATGCCAGGAGCTTCATATACATTACACTCCCCTCTCACCCTGGCCTCACTCTCCCTGCATATAAAATGGGTCAAAAATGCATTCTGTAGATGAGGGAAACGAGATTCAGAAAGATTAAGTGATCTGTGAAGGACACAGACAGTGAGCCACAATTTTACCCCCCTAGGATCCCCTGCAATCCCACAATGCCGTGAAAAGGGTTAAACTCCAGACCATGTTTCATGGGGACATAGCACCTCCTGAACCCTGGTGTTGAGAAAAGATACATACAGGTGAGCAAATGAATTAGAAAACTCTCCAAAATCAAACTAAAATAAAAATAAGCAAGGCCGGAGTGGGAACAGGAAATTCAGCGTGAAGAGGGAGGTGCTCTGCTAGGGAAGGTGCCAGTAAAATTTGCCTGAGAAAACTGTTGCACTCATAGCTGGTTTATCTGGAAAGACCTCTGGGTGAGTTTAAAACAAGCATGTACCTCTACCTGACTGCTGAAGAAATGGGGGGAAGACCAGTGCTCTATTCTCTAGCAAAGGCTTTTCACAGCTCAAATGATAACATCCCCTACGGTTTCCTTCTTTTCCTTTTTAATGAAGGCCCTTTACACTCTTTTGCATTTCCAGTGTGTTGTCTATAATAATATACAAGTTGCCTTTTGTCTAGCACCTGACTATGACAACTAATTCCTCACTTTTGTGTTGATTTCAGAGGTCTGGGGGCACTTTCTTTTTTTAAAGTCATAAAAATAAAACTAAGTCACATTACCAAATTCAGTGACACAAAGATGAGCCTGCTGTCTTATAATTAACACACCTTCCTTTAACTCCAGTTCATTCACCAAAATTGCAGCTTAACCACTAGGAGCAAGAAACCTAGCTCCATGTACTTCTGGGTATTAAAAAAGACCCATTTCCTCCGCACCAAATCAGAGATGAGGCAAAACTTCCAGCTTTTAATACTGCAAACCCGAAAACAGCAAGCAAGATATTTGTCATGATCACTAGGGGCACAAGAAGAAAGGCCACTCTTCACCAGTGAGCACGTGAACTCAAGTTCTGCCGCAACCACGTGTCAGCAGGATACCACCACAGACCCCCACAGACCCCCACAGCCCGGGGTTGCCCAAATGGCACCACTTACAGAAAGAGAGAGATGACATGAGACGAAGCAGCACCCAGGGATGGGATGGTTGTCAACTCGTTATTACTGAGGTACCTGTAATAACAACAAGAAGAAATTAGTCATTTAAAGCATTTAAATTAGCAGTCTGAAATCATACACATACAAGGAAAAATCAAAAAACACTGCTGAGTTAGCATAATAAGACTATATTTCAAGGTTGGGTAAAAGATAAAGAATTTATGAGTTTTTAAAGGGAGAGAAGTCAGGTCACAAAAAATAACCATTTATCACTCCCATGGCTAGAAATAAACACTAAGGGGAAACATCTCCTGTCTCCCACCAGCTTCCCATGGAGCTCAGAAATCAACACGAACAGACAAGAAACGGTGAGAAAAGGCCAAGATGCAGGTTCAAGATAAAAGCGCCCCCAAGACCCTTGCCTTGATAAGAGTGATCCCAGTAGGCTGAAACCTACCCTTGCCAGAGGGCAATGTGCCCGGAAGGAGGGCCAGAGACTCACTCTCCCTGGCTTGCGTGGAGTTCTGAGGGGTTTGTGACACCACGGCCAATTATTTCAACGCCTCATCTGTGAAATAACAAGGGAGCTGGACTCAGAAACTCTCAGCCATTTGAGGTTCCAGCTTCTTTGGGCTCTGATGAAGGCTCCGGTCTTGTCTTCCAGGAAAAACGAATGCATATATACACACTTTTGCACATAGACATTTTGAAAATTCTCTGCAGATAAGATTTGCTCTCCAAGCTCCTTTTCTGATCAAACATTCTAAATCTGTATTTCCATAGTTAATATCTCTTAATGGAAGGGAAAGCCCATGAACCAAAACACAGCTCGCCTGGTCTGCCCCGAGAGGCTGTGCAATCTGGCCTCCTTACATGGACATGCATTTCTAAATCTGGAAAGAGAATCCAAAATCAGACTTGCAAAGTGAGCCTAAAAATCTTTAAAAAAGCCAAAGCACAGTGTTCAAGCTTTCTGCCGGGTGATGGGCTAGAAAGAAATTGTATCTGAGATGTAAAATCACGGGTATAAAACTGGGTTATCTTACTCTCAATTCTTTAAGGGAGGTATGTCTTGCACAGAGCATCTTGTTACTGTTTGAAGACAAGGCCACTGAAATGACAGCTGTATTCATACAAACATACAGCTAGCATTTGCTTGAATAATCTGGTTGTCTGCCATCTTTTATAGAATGAATAGGACAAGGAGGGAAAAAGGAAAGGCCTCGAATTATCCCATTTGCTTTCTTCGATGCCAAAACCAGTTAGGGATGAAGCTTGGCAATTAGTGGGCTGTAGGACACAGAATGCCTGTTTCAATAGCTTCATGACTGAAGCATCTGGCAGAGAGAAAGCAGATCCGTATCATGTGGCAAATCCTTTCTCCACTTAAAGGGCCCTTGTTTGTGTGTTGAAATAGACAATTAATTACGTGAACAGTCTCTTATCTGACTGCTCCCTAAATCAGATTGTTTCTGCTTCACCTTTTATCTCTTCCAACCCTGCTGTGATCCATCTCCCATGGTGGTGCAGGGATACTGAAAAACCCCTATCAGTCTTAATCTCTACTAATAAATTTTCATAGTACTCATCAATGCACTTATTATTACAAGAGACCCTTAGGTTTTAACAGAGCAAGAAAAACTAAGGTCAGGGGTCTGCTGCCACTCAGGCAGCTTGCCTAAGAACTCTTCTTTTCTTTTTTTTTTGAGACAGGGTCTCGCTCTGTTTCCCTGGTAGAGTGCGGTGGCATCATCACAGCTCACTGCAGTCTCAAACTCCTAGGCTCAACCAATCCTCCTGCCTCAGCCTCCCAAGTAGCTAGGACTACAGGAATGCACTACCACACCCAGGTAACTTTTTCTATTTTTGATAGAGACAGGTCTTGCTCTTGCTCAGGCTGGTCTCAAACTCCTGAGCTCAAGCCAGCCTTCTGCCTTGGCCTTCCAGAATGCTAGGATTACAGGTGTGAGCCACCATGCCCAGCAGAATTCATTTCTTGGAGATTTATTCTAAAACACAGAGGGTGATGGTAATAACAGTAACAGCTGCAGGTAACTTAATGAAGGCTTACTATATGCCAGGCATGGCTCTAAAAGATTTTCAGTGTATTATCATCTTTAGACCCCTGGGAAGTAGGTCCCAGCAACTTTTCCACCGTACCAATGAGGAACCTGAAACACTGAGATGTTAAGCAGTTTGACCAAGGTCACCAGCAGTGGCCCAGGGGTATCTAGCCCCAAAGTCTAGGTTCTTCACCATTACCCTCTATTTCTTTATAATTACAGCAAAAACTCTACATGCCTTATGTCATTTCATCATCACCACAACTTTGAGTCAGGTACCAGGTACTTCCACTGTTCCCTACATTACAGGTAAGTTCTCTAAGCCAGTTTAAGTAACTAGCCCAGGGTCACACAACTAGGGAGCACACAGCCAAGAGCAGAACAACGTATGACTGCAAATCAGAGGAGAGCAACAAGCTAAAAGACCAGTAAGCACAGGGCAAGCCGGAAAGCTCATAATCCCTTAGGTAACATCGTAGTTGTTTTTCAGCCTGCTTTACGATCTGACTTGATTTTAAACCTGAAACAAAGAATATGGACTTCTCCGCCAGGGAAATTTGGCTGACGAGCTTGGTTTCAGGCCAGCCATACTGTACATATGACAAACTGCTCCACCCAATTTCACAGAAATAGACGAACAGGGAAAAGGGGCATAACAGTATTTCAAATCTTCAAAGAACTGCTGGAAGTGGAGAATACAGGGGCAGTGGACCAGTGAAGATTAACAGGGCGTTGTATGTCTAGATGAGCAGCCCAAGTCAACGGCCTCAGTCAGAAATAGCAGGCTCTAATCTCAACAGGGCTGCCTGATTTATGAAGAGGACAGTTGGAGCCCAAGGGAGAGGCACTGCACAGTGAGCTTACTTCTAGACCATTTCTACTTAAAAAAGAACCACTGGTTAAATATAAGTCTGTCCACTCCACCACCACTGGCTGCTTCTTTGTTCCGTCTAGCCCCCGTTGAAAACAGAACACTATCCTCAGAAGGCAGTAGAGGCCCAACTTGCTGTGAGAAGCAATGAACTTCTTGCCAGACTGTAAGAGAGACTGGTCAAAAATAGCACAGCTAGAGCTCTGAGGGAAAAGGCACTTGGGAAGTTTAGCAGAGTCTCTATGAATAAGGAAATTTTAGGAATTAAAGACTGTGTGTGATGAAATTTTTTGCATGTCCAGAGCTGCGAAATCTTCCACCCCTCACACCTCCCCAGTTTACTTTCCTCCAAAATTTACTTCCACCCAAGGCCTTAAAAATCTGGCTTCTATAACTGAACCTTGTCTTGATGATTCAGGATTAAGAAGTGCCTTAGATGCATCAGGCCGAGACTCACGGCCAGACCCTGGAGCTGGAGAAGGCGTAAGTAAGGTGCATGGGTTGTCTAACCCCAGGGCGGAACCTGGAGGTGGGACCTTTCAGAACTCAATCCATAAGGTCAGCTTGGACTTTCTGGTCCCTCAACTTTCTCCCAAAATACCCATTTATTTGGCTTGGTTAAAGGAAGTTTTACATTTTGCAACATGCAAAGTGTTATAAAGGATACTTCACAGTATATTACTATTACCATCACCACCATCATAATCATCTAATCAAATTTGCCTTCGAAAAACATTGTAAAACCAACCCAAGGAGTAATTTTCGGCTATCGCACTTTTTCTTACCTTCTTTATTTATTTACTGAATAGTTAATCTTAGTATACGGTAAAATTTTCAAAACATTTCAAAAAAGAATATGGGAGTATAAAGTGACAAATAAAGCTTCCTTGCACTTCAGTCATCTGGTCTGCCTCCAAGGGGAATCTCCTGCTACTAGCTGCTAGAGATGTACATATGTTTTTCTTTTGCACAAATGCATATGTATTATACAGATTGTTCTGCACTGCTGTTTTTTCCCTTAGTAATATATCTTGGCACTCTCTACAACTCTTTTAACCAGCTGCAGAGTAGTCCTCTCCTGGTATGAATGAACCATAATTTATTTAGCCAATCCAATACTGGTAGACATAGCAGTTATTTTTTGGTTGCTTCCAAACACAGAGCTGCAATTAATAACAGTAGAAGTTGGGCAGGGGGTTAGAACTTTGGTTGGTTTTGTTTCTTAAAAGGGAGAAAACCATCAGGAGCAGGTAGGAGCACAGATTCTGGAATCCAAAATAATAAGTTCATTAATAACTTATTATGATTTAGTTACTTGAGTATAATGCATACTAAATAATTGCCCTGGCAAGATTTTATGATACATAGTTTCTATACCACATGGCCCAATAAAGTTATTTAGTATAATGATATAGGATATAGTTAATTTAACAATTATAAATAACATAAATAAAAAGGTTGAACATTTCCTATGTGCCAAGCCCTGTCCTAAATTCTTTATGAGCAGTATGTCACCGAATGATATACCAACTCTTTGAGAAAGGTACTAAATTATCACTTCACCTTAAAAGAAGAAACTAAGGCACAGCTACTGAGCAGCAGAGCAGGGATTATTAGTATAGGATTTTAAAATCAGTTCTGTTGTTCACGCAACCCCAATTCCACCCCTTACCAATCCAACGCTAAGCATGTGACTTAACCTTGCTGTGCCTTAGTCTCCTCTTCCGAAAAATGTTATCTAACAAATAATACAAAGACCAGCTTTGGAGGGATTATGGCAGGATTCAGCTGAAATAATTAAACCTAAGAGCTTAGGATATAGCCAGATACATAGGACATGCTTAAGAGATGGCAGTAATTCATAGCCAAAAAGCAGTGGCTCAAAACAACAGCCCTCGTTGTTTCAGCTTCTCCTTAAACATACCACCATCACACCCACTAAACACACACACACACACACACACACACACACACCAGAAGCTTGGCACAGAGGAGGGTGAGCCACAAATACCCAGTGGCAGGGCATACTCAAGGTTTCCTCACCACCTTGAGGAACATTTTAGGTCAGTGGCCCTGGCAAGCACATGGCAGCACCCACAGCAAGCACCAGCAGGCCAGGTGGCAGTAACGTGATCCAAGGGCAGTTTTTACAGAGTACGGTATAAATAGCCCCTCTTATTAATAGAGGAGCCCTGCCGTCCAGGCCCCGGGCTGGAGGCACTCCCTGGTGGGCTTTCCTCAGGACTGTGGGCAGTGAAGACCGTGTGGCTTGGAAGCAGCTGTACAAGTGTCCTCGTGTCCTCCAGGGGCCTCCAAAGGGCTTGCCTTCTTTCTACAATTGGCCCACGATGTTATGTGGTTCTGGGGCCTCCAAAATAAAACCACTGCTAAACCACTGCCCGCTGCTCTGCCAGCCTGTGGCTGCTGCCTTGTTGAGGACTCTACACTCTGAAGTCTCTGCAGGGCTTGGGAGAACTGACAGCCCCTGGCAAACACTTGAGCCCAATTAATTTTGAAGCAATGGTGTGTCAGCTACAATTTTTTTCTCTTTAGTGTCCTTCCCCACCCCTCACTCCTGACAGCCTCCTTCTGTCTGCACAACGTAATAGAATTCCCCAAGGGAAAGGCCTGTATATTTATCAGTGAGACGTTCTGCTCCTCTGGGCACCGATGAATTCGTCTTATCCATCCCACAGGACAGGGAGTGACACCAGAGACAGGAGATGGTCACAGTGGTAAGAAGTTCAACCTGTCAGCTCTCAAGGATTTGTTTCTAAACAACGCACCAAGCCTGGGGGAGGCAGCGCTGTGAGGTTCCGAAAAGTAGAAGGGAAATTATATTCGATGAGCTTTTCCCATGTGCAAAGCCCTATATAGCGCCTTCAATAAATAACTATAATAATGCTGATAATGTGTTATGATGTTGATATTTTAGAACAGGGAAAGGAAACACTGATAAGTACCTTGTCTAGGGACACAGACCCAGTACGGGGCAGAACCAGAACTCAAACTCAGGTCTGCTTGCTACCAAAATGAGCGCTTTTCCCACTACACCATGTTGAATTCATAAGATACGATCTCTGTCTTTATACCGCCCATGCTTAGGAAGGTAATGCTGCCACAGAGCGTGACCTGGAGTTAGGCTGGGGGGCACAGGCCCAGTTCTGCCACATCCCATGCCCCAATCCCAGTGCCTTCGACTCTCTGAAGCTGGAAGTGAGAAGGAGTGCTTAGCACAGTGGCTGGTTATGGCCAATCTTCCTGAGTGCACTGGCAGAAGGAGGGAAAGAATTCACACACAAAACAGAGCACGGACAGGGCGAGGAGCATCACTGCACCCAGAAATGCAACCCACGTTCAGAGGAGGAAGAAAAGCCAAGACGTGGGTGGGAGTGGGGGTATGGGACAGGCTTCAAGGACAGTGTGGGTTTGGTTGAGGGATCCGGGGGAATAAGAGATAAGATGTTGAATGCACAAAGAGAAAACTGGTATAGAAACAGTGAAGCTGGCAAATAAATGCCGGATCTCCTCTGTCTTTTTTCATCTGCCGTTGACTGTTGGGGTTAAAATGAGATGTGGGAATTTAAAGTAGTGCAGCCTCAGGGTTACATGCAGAGGTTTTGGAGTCACTCTGATTTGAATTCAACTCTCAGCTTTACCAACCATGTGACACTATGCAAGCTTCTTTAATTTCGAGCTTCCATTTCTCCCTCTGCAAAGTGGAGTAAATTCTTATAAAGAAAATCTTTTATATCAGAGTTGGTGTTAGGGTTAGATCTGGTCATATTCCCCAAAGGTTTATTAGCACAGTGCTGCTATGATTAGTGTGACTGTTGTTAAGCAAGAAACGTATTTTTAAGACTCATAACTAGCATCTCTGGTGAAGGACACATGGAAGTGAGATGTTCTTAGTTCTAGATCTGGGTGGGGCATAAACTCTGAGAAGCACTGAGTAAAGGCTGGAGGTCAGGGGAACCAAACCAAATGAAAACTGAAAGCCTGTCTGGGCAAGGAACAAGTGGAGCAAGGGAGCTAGACAGGGCAGCGCTGAAAATGCTTGACAGGGGTTCAACCTGTAATCTACGGTGGCCCCTAAGGCCCTAAAGGATCCAGGCCCCAGCCATACACCCCTGCCCTCATGCACAGTGGCCCTCGGCCTGGTCCTTCCTTGAGGCCCCTGTACTTGCAGTCTTCCCTGTTCTTGTCATTCATACTTCCTCAACTGTCACTTTCCTGACCACGCCCTGACTCCATTCATCATGCCTCCAAAATAAAAAGAGAGGGGAGAGGGGAGAGAGAGAAAGGAGAGGAAGAGAGAGAGAAAGAGAGAGAGAAAGAGAGAGAGAGAGAGAGAGAGAGAGAGAGAGAGAGAAAGAAAGAAAGAAAGAGAAAGAAAGAAAGAATGAAAGAGAACTGTCATATTGCCCTGTTCTATTTCCCCCATACCACTTATCACTGGTAAGTCGTACTGTCTTCCTTGTTCAGTGCACGGCTCCCCCCAACTTAACATAAGCTCTGTGAAAGGAGAGTTTGGTCTTCAGGGCCAGAGTTGAGTGAGGAGGGGCACAAAATTTAAGAGGCTGCCAAAACACTCAGTAACCAGGACAAAGAGTATGTTAATGCAATATTTTAAAAATATCACAACAAATGCAAAACAAAATCCATGATGAACAAAATATCAAAAGTTTAAAGCAAGACAAGATCAAGCCACCCTGGAGCCCAAGGCAAAAGAAAAAGAATCAGTAATACTGATCCTTTCTTGATTTAAACTTTTTATATCATGCTTATCATAGATGTTTTTCATTCATTTCGATTTTTTTAATATTGCATCAAAATATCCTTTATCTTGATTGCTGAGTTTTGGGTGCCTCCATAAATTCTGCACCTGGGGTGGGTACCTCGCTTGCCCCCTCCCTAGTCCCAGCCCTGTTTGTGTGCCTCATTCACTCTGTACCCCCAGCACCCAGAGCAGAGTCTAGCACAGAGCAGGCACTTAAGTAAGTGTTAAATGAAAGCCTGAATGATGAGGAAATATCCCAATTTAGATTTTGTCAAATTCTTTAAAAAAAAAAAAAAAATCACTAAATTTTGAGACTTAACCCACAGAATCTGAATATATTCTAACCACAAGAATTAAAGACAGCTTGGATCAGGGGAAAGCACTGGGTTATGAACCCAACTGGCTCCATGATGGCCAGGGTTTATCATCTTGGGTGACTATGACAGGGTGAACTGTGTCCCCCCAAAGCTCATATGTTGAAGCTCTAACCTTCAGTACCTTGGCATGTGACTGTATTTGGAGACAGGGACTTTAAAGAGATGATTAAGGTTAAATGAGGTCATACGGATGGGTCCTAATCCCATGGCATCTTTATAAGAAACGGAAGTTTGGATCACAAAGCAGACAACAGGGATGCCTGCACACAGAGGAGAGACTATGTAAGGACACAGCAAGAAACAGCCACGTGTAAGTCAAGGAGAGAGGCCCCAGGAGAAACCAACCCTGCCTGCACCTTGATCTTGGACTTTCGGCCCCTAAAGCTGTGAGAAAATGAATTTCTGTTTAACACACTGACTGCCACACTAGAAAAAAAAATTCTTTCCTTGGGGCAATGGTGTTTTATTACAAAATTAGAATAAAAACTTCGAAAACAAAACGATCCTTTCTAAGTGAATGAAAAATTTGCTATTTTTTATTGTTTTCTGTGCCTGAGTTATATGCAATTTGAAAAAATAGTTCTCAGGGCTCCCAAGGTGAGGAGACGTGTGAGATACATATGCTTCACGAGGCCCCAGGCTCAAAGCTAGCGTGAGTTAAATACAACACACATGGCAGTTAATGTGTTAAGCTAGCCAGCCTGTGGCATTTGCTGTGGCAGCATTAGCAAACTGACACAGCGACCCACTCAAACCTTCTTCTCCTGACACTGGCTTATTGATCTTACAGGAAAATGAGGGTCCAAAGCCCCTTCCAACTCTGATGTTCCTTTAAATTCAGAAGTCTAAACCTTTTTAAAATAGAAATCATATATGACAATTTGAAGAATTTGGAGATGGGGTAGGGAAGGCAAGTATTCTGCAAATTGTACCAGATGAAAATTAAATTTTCTTTAGATAAGCCATCAATAATGGAATTGAAGAATAAACAAAGACCTTTATCAGTTACTTAAAACAAAAATGTCTAAAAATCTTACCTAATAATGTCTAAGAAAAATAATAATGGAAGCAGTGGGTAAATGATTTATGGAATATATACGTATAGTAGTTTTACATAAAAATTAAAACAGGACATTCAAAAAATTTTAATTTACATGATAAAGTATCTAAAAATGTAAGGCTAAGTAGGCAAGAAAGATATAAAACCATAATATACAGTTTGATCCTAAGATGCTGTGTGTACAAGTATACATTTTTCATCAAGTGTTACAATGGCCATGCCTGGGTGATAATACTAGTGATTTTCATTCTTCACACATTTCTATAGTTGCCAATTTTTCTACAGAATGTATGCATGACATTCACGAACATTCCTAGCAAAATCACTAAGGAGCTAAACCTCCTGATAATCCTAACATCCACGTCAAAAGCTGAATTCTTTACATTAAAAAAGGAGACTGCCGCCTGATTTAACGGGTACTGCAAGAGGCAGCAAGCCTAGAGCTCCAAAGGCAGTAATGCCTAGCTCTGTTTGTGGAGGGGAAAAGGTAAGCCTCTATTGTCCACCCTTCTATACTTCTGTTTCCTGGGAAGCAGAAGGGGTGGGCTGGCATCCCACACCACTGTTGAGTGGGCTGTTCAACCTTCCTGGGAACTGCTGAGAAAGTACCAGCTCAGGTGTGTTACCCTGGGGACTTGGCTATACACCCACTGTGTACCCACAATTTCCAGGAACTCTATTGCCTGCTGGATTGTAACACACCCTTCTAGGATTGCCTAGGAAGAAGAGAGAAGCGGCAGTAATGGACAGTTAAGTAAGGAGCATAATTCGTCACCAACAGCCTGTACATAAACGTTCCTTCCCACAAGTTTAGACTGCTGCTCTAGAGGAGCGAGCAATGCTGCAATATGAGAGGACACTCCCCAAGAGCACGCCATCCCTCCACCCTGCAGAGGTTTAGGGGAAGCACTCACACTTCCTGTAGATTCGGCAAGTCCTCAAAACCAGCAGGGTCAATCTCAGAGAGTTTGTTGTAGCTCAGGTTTCTGGTAAAGGAAGCGGGGGAAAAAAAAAATTAAACCAACACTTGGCATCACACCTAAGATGCAGGAATCTTCTTCTCTCCCACTTCACCACCAACAAAATCTAAATCCTCTCCCCCTCATAATTACCCATTTCATGCAATATTTTAAGTAACCCATTGATACTGAGATTGACAGATATACCTCCTCCCCATTTTCATCCATAACAAAGCACTCCAAGCAATCCTGGGAAGATCCACATCACCCAAGGTTGGGTAAACCCAAATGGATTCCAATCAATACCATTTCACTACTTAACAACATTTAAAGAAATTCTGAGGTGAGCCAGGCCTCCATCTACGTTAAAGTGTCCTGGTCCAAATGCTTTGCACCAAATCAAACCCAAGGCTATTCTTAATGACATTTTTTTTAAATTAATGTTTCACTAAAGCATCGATATTAAGCAGTAGTAAAGGAAAAGGGAAACCAGTATCATCATCTAAACCAGTATCTCTCAACCAGAAATGATTCTACTCCCCAGGGGACATTTGACAATGTCTAGAGATATTTTTGGTTGTCATGACTGGGGGGGAATGCTGTTACTGGTATCTGGTGGGTAAAAGCCAAGGATACTGTGTTCGCTTCAGCAGCACATATACTGAAAGCCAAGGATACTGTTAAACGTCTTACAACGCACAGGCAGCCCCCTGCAACAGAGAATTACCTAGCCCCTCAATGTCAATATCAGCATTCAGAGATTGAGAAACCCTGGTCTAAACAAGAACTTAAGACTAAAACTTGCTCAGATGTATAGTCAATGCTCAAGTGACTGTAAGAAAGTGAGCACTGTAAGATCCTGAATCATAAGGCTACTTACGAACACAGAATTCCTACCACCGACGAATAAATTGGGAGTATACGAGTCACACGGGGAGGCAGGAGCCGGTTGTTGGAAATTCGCGTTGGTGTTAACGACGCAGGGAAAGCCTCTTGTGAACAGCCTTCCCAAGATGATAGTGTCTGTCTCAAGATGACAGTGTCAGAATTACACCTCTCCTCACTTCATCACCTAGCCACACCCTCACAGGCAGACAAAGAGCAAGCCGGGCAATGTTCGGTCAGCTCTCTGATCCCAGTCTCAACCCAGACGAGCCTAATCCTTCAGGAGGAGAAGCTACAAAGATGTGATCCAATGGGCCCTAAGTTATTTTGCACTGTAATCTTGTTCCCTGCCACCAAAGCCCACCTAGCCTTGTGTATGCCAAAGAACTTAACATTTTTCATCTCAGCTATTAAGTCTACTGACATTACTGCCAATTAACGGCACTACTAATCATGAGTTTAAAGTCTGTCTCTTAAAGTGCCACGTAAGTGGCAGCTACCTTTTAAGTTTACTCCAGAGACACTTCAATCAATACTAACCCAGAGTTGATAGCCATTTCACTGTGAACTCAAAGACATTCATCTAAATAAAAGTCAAACTATACTTGAAACTAATGGTACATCTGTATTCATGGCACAGCCTGACTAAAAGTAATTTGTCCGGAGATTATGTTACCATAAAGACTGAAGGTGGTAATTTTTTAAATCACATATTGAAGTCAAGTGTGAACTTGCCTATGCTCGGGGGTATTTATTGATGGATACATAGAAATTCCAAGTTAGACTTGGGAAAGAAAATCCACAAAGTGAGACAATTCTCCCACATTAGAAAAAGAACTGGACAGACTAAGAGTTCCTTTTATTTTGGGCAAGTTATCACAAAAGGGGGAATGGAAATAGTTTCTGGGTATAAAGATACTGTGAGCTTGGAAGGGCAAGCAAGTAATGCAGCTGGTGACCCTGCCCCGTTCAGAATGAGGCCGACACAGCGGTGCCTGCCCGCCCACCTAAGGGGGCATTCATTCCTCATCTCCTGGAACAAGGGCCAGTATAGACCAATCTTCTCAGTTTTCCAGAGGAGCTCAAAATCTAAATTATTATGTGAAATCTTTTATTAAAAAAAAAAAAAGTAAAAAAGTAACCGCAGATAGCCAAACAAAACATATCTGCAGGCCACATTTGGCCTAAAGACTGCCAGTTTTCGCCTCTGATCTAGGCCACTGACTCTTGAGGCTATTAAGTTCAAAGGGAACGGCTTGTTTCTGGCTTACACATGTGGCCAGGGGTGGAGGTAGGGCTCACCGGGTCTTACGCAATTTGCTGATGGCTCCGTTTTGAACTATCTGAAATGAGATCACTTCCCTCAATCCCCACCCAGCAAGTGTCCATATTCTTCAGCAATTTAGAATAAAACCATTTTAGGTCACAACACCTTTTGGTTTGTCTTTCCACTAAAGAGCAGAAAAAATTTATCCAGTTGTCAAATGTTGTATAAATTCCACTTTTTCTATAAGGCTACTTGAGAAAAGGGTCCTCCATAGCTAGTTTCTATTATTAAGAGGCCAAGTAGTATCAGGACTTAATACTGGGAGGCCAACGACTAGCAATAAAGATGAAGATACTTATAAGTCGAAATTTAAGTTTTCACTGGGTCAGCCTGGATGCAATGACTTTTAGAGTTTCAATGAACTAGAAAAGCCACCTATCAACAAACAAGTGTCAGGGTACTGCCTATAAAGGGTAACTCTCCTCTCAGAGCACCTGTTGGCAATACAGAGAGAAGACAGTCACTGAAGCTCACGTCCCTTGGGACAGTTTCTGCTGCAGACACAGAGCTGCTCTAGCTTTTAAGTCTGAGAAGTGGTCCGGAAAGAGCTGCCGACTGTCAATTGATTTATCAGAAAATGAGGAAAATATTTACTATATTCTCCCTGGCAAAGATAGTGTGAAATAAAATCCTCAGAGACACCTTTTTGTTGGCCCGTTTTAGGAAGACAAACTCCTGGCATACTTTTTTTTTAGTGCAGTAAAATATACATAATATAAAATTTACTATTTTAACCATTTTAAGTGTACTGTTCAGCGGCATTAAGTATATTTCCATTGTTGTGTGACCATTACTCCCATCCATCTCCAGAACTTTCTCAACATCCCAGACTGAAACCCCGTACCCTCTGAATACTAACTCCCCATTCCCCTCTGCCCCAGCCCCTGGCAACCACCATTCTACTTGTATCTCCATGAATCTGCTACTCTCGGTACCTCACAGAAGTAGAATCATATGGTATTTGTCCTTCTGTGACTGTTATTTCACTTCTGTTATGTTATTTCATTTAACATAATGTCTTCAAGTTTATCCATGCTGTCATATGTGTCAGAATTTCATTTCTTTTTAAAGGCTGAATAATATTCCATTGTATGTGTATACCACATTTTATGTATCCATCTATCTGTCAACAGACATTTGAGTTGTTTCTACTTTTGACTATTGTGAATAATGCTGCTATGAACACTGGTGTACTGTTTTCCAAATTTTTATAATTTTTAAGCAAAGTGGTTTTTTTAAAAACCCTTTGACCGTTATGCTTACTGACAACGCTCATTTCTCAGTGATTAAGGAAATCTTACTCAGACCAAGAAAGGGGTGTGAATTCTCATCTCAGATCCTAAGAACAATCAAAGGGTTAATCAGCAAAAACCTTTAATGAGGACTTTCAGGTGGCAGCTGACACGCATACACATCTAAAGCATCTCACTTATTTCTATGAACACGATCGCCCCTTACCAAGCCTGACATCTGAATGTGTCTTCAGTTGAAGGTTTTAGATTCTCCTGTCAAAACAATTCATCTGTCAGCAGGACAGATGCTGTCAAAAGCATTTCTGTACCTTTCAGTAGCAAAGAAGAGAGGAAAGAAACCTCAGGGAATTTAGTTACTGCCAATTGCAGTTTTCATTAAACATTTTGTCAGCCATTGTCATAACACAAATTTTCCCTGTTCTTGCACAAAGGGTGCGCAGATCTTTGAACAATTGAGCCCAGCCATAGATATTCTTTCAGCTAATCTGCTGAAAGATGACCGTACAGCCCACTGTTTGCAGAACACACAAGAGGCACCTCTGCAGCGAACAGCTCAAGTTTTATCCAGGCATGTCTGAGGAGCAGTTTAATAGTACGAGACAACAGTCTGCTTGTGGAGCATGTTTTCTGACAAGCCCTCCTACCCCAGCCCCAAAGAATTCGGAAAGCTAAGGTCTTTCAATAACTGAGAAATCCCCACCACTATCTAAACCTGTGCTGTCCAATTTGGTAGCCAACTAGCCATTTGGCTATTTACATTTATATTTAAACTAAATTAAAATCACATAAAATTAAGAATTCAGTTCTTTGGTCACACTAGCCATATTTTGAGTTTCAACAGTCACACGGGGCTGGTGGCTACCGAACTGCACAATGCAGACAGAGGACATTTCTATCAAGTAATCGACAAATACGTCTAAATCATGAAATAATCCATAAACATTTCAAGTGAAATGGCACCTACAGAAGAAACTTTGATTTTAAAAATAAATCTGACTTTCCCAATAATTCAAGAGCTTTGTTGAAAAATGTGGCGGGAATCGGACGCTGATATTAACTCCAGTCCTTTAAGCACAGCAAGTTCTGAACCATCCCGACAGGGGAAAGGGACAGGGCCTTTGAACACTGAAGTCACTAGGAAGGCACTCTTAATGAAAACTGCCCTCTGAGTGTAATTCTGCAGGCTTTGCATAATCTGACCAGCACCTTCCTGGATTATAACCAGAACCACACATTACAAACTTGGCACATGCTAGTCAAAGCTGGCGAACAATAATTCATTGACTCCCTGGAAATTGAGGGATAAAAAGTTCCGTTTACTTTTGAGTGAGCTGTGGTGAGGAAATAACCCCACTTCGTTGGACAACATAATTAGCACTTCATCCCCAAAAGCAAGCATTGCTCGTAGACAGCTGACTATAACCTCTTGCTATGAAGAGTGGCACAGCGCATGGCTCCAGTTTTCATCATTAACACAGTAATAATTCGAAGTGGAAGGAATTGGTCCCAAATCTGTACAAGCATTCCCTGAGGAATGAGGTTTTCATATTCAGTTTGGGTTC